GATGGGACGGGTCGCGACTTCTCAAAATGGGCTCATTGAACACAGCACGGATAAGATCTTGGAGAAGCTCGAGGCTGTCGTGAGCACTCAGACTGTGCTCTTGAGTGCAAAATTGGATAACATGTCAGAGAAGCTCACGGCTCTCCAGCGGGAGATTGAAAGACCAGTGACGGACTGTTAGACCAAGTGTGAAACTGACATGCAGTTGTTCGCACTAAAGGAAAACCACCATCATTTCATGCGGCTACCATATCATCATAGCATGTTTTCCCTCTGAGTTATGGTTTCATATTTGTTGGTTAGATTGTCCCAGTTTAGGTTTGTTTAGTTTCTGTATTATCACCTCATGTAAATAAAGCTCATTCATTGCGTCATCAGTGCCTACGATTGGGTCCTTTTCCCTTCAACTCCACACGACTGCCGCAGCCGTGACAAGAATAGGGCGGCCAGAGTAATGTTAAGATGTTCATACTATACTATATCGATCAAATGCATAATAAACTTTTCTGGCTTTGTGTACAAGCTAAATTACACTACGGCTTACTTTTATTTATAAAGAAAGCAATACTGTTAAGCACATCACATTTGTTTGTCAACTGCAGTATCCAGATGAAATACATAATCATGCAACACGATTTCTAACAAACTGCAGTTTAGTAATTCCTCAAGTTAAAAGTAACTTTTTGAAAAACTGTTATATTTAGAGCATCTTTTAAGTGGAATTAACTGCCTTATGCAAATAGAGAACTAGCTACTATTCCTTATTTTAGAAAACATTTGAAAGCCTAATTACAAAGTTTTTAGTTATTGTAAATATTGAGGGCAGTGTAAGTTTTGATTTGATTTTTGTCTATGTGTGTGTATAACTAATACATAGTGTGTGTGTGCCATCTTGTTGCCATAACTGGCTCTTGTCACCTAAACCTTGTTTCAGTTTCATAGCTTTGTTTCTGAGAGCATGTCCATCTGAAAACAGGAAAGCTGTGAGGCCTGCAGATGGTTTGCGCATGCAGATTGTGGATAAACTCTAACTCTTTGATAGCAGACTAAGGGCAGACAAGGGTTTTTCTTTTTGGCTACGTTCACACTGCAGGTCTTAATGCTCAATTCCGATTTTTTGATCAAATCCAATTTTTTTGCTTGTTCACACTACAAATAAAATGTGACAGCAAACGCGCTCTAGTGTGAACCCTCAAAGCGGTCCGCATGCGCAAAAGAAGACGTCACACAGAACGCGCTCTGTTTAGACCCAGACCAACAATATTGTTTGACTAATGGCCCTTAATATAAAGACTTGTTTCGGACTTTACGTTTCCCAATTTTGCTTTAAGTTATAAAGTTATTTTGTTATTTACATTTGGCCTAATAATGATCCTTATTGCTGTTTTAGAGGAGCGGTGCTTCAAAGGATAGCTGCAGATTTCTGTCAGAATCTGCAGATTATACAGTACAAAGAAAATGTTCACGTTTCTCCAACATTGTCTTCCCAACAGTTTCACTGGAGGGCCAGGAAGCGTTCACGATGTCTTCTTGGGCGCTTATACATTTTATATTTTATATAAAAATCAAAATATGGACCTTTGTGTCGATGCTCATAAACAACTGTTTTTTATTGCTCACAGGATATCCACCACAAACATGATTTACAGAATATGATACTAGACTTTAAACAGACTATAAAGTGTTTAACTTGTTTTTAACCTGTTTTAGCAAGCTCGTGGTCTGAATGCTTTCTTGTGCCAACAATATCTGCTTTGCCAAAAACATTAACAAGAGGAGTCTACAGGCAGTCTCGTTCAACATAATGATTACATTTACTTTGATTAGATTTTTGATCAGAAAACAGTCAACTGTTAGCAAAATCACATATAGATAAACTGCTTTAGCACTGATTATCACTTTAAAAGGTTGGATGTTAAACTCGTTTACCCTCTCTGATGTAATAAGAGGTAAGCTCATTACATCTTCAATTTCTTTCAATCCCACCTCTCCCAGCAGTAGAAACTATTGGTGGAATGTCATATGTGGTAGATCACTATTGATGAAACACTACTAGAAAAGATTCAGATCCAGGTTTTTGTTTGTTTTTGAATTAATTATACCCATTCTGTGGAAATAAAAGATTGTTTGAAAGAGAGTGCCTCAGAGTTTGTTGATATTTTTAGCCTGTGTGTATCCGTTCTAAAGAGCACCTCTTCCATATAATGGAGTGCAGACAATAAAAAACATATACACTCAGGACAATAAGAGGAGAGGCACCAGGTGGAACACACAGCTGTAACTAGAAACATGATGAGAAAGGGGAAGTAAACACAAGAGTCACAGAAAGCCACAGTTACTGGGGAAAAAAAACTAGGAAGATGCGACTGAACGAGAAACAAGGGTTAACTTAACATAGAGGACCAGACAGGGGAACATGGAAAGCAAAAGACAAGTGCAGATGAGACTGTGGTACCAGGGAACACAGAACAAACCAGGAAAGACAAACAAGTGTCTGTTATTAACATCAGGCACATTGAAAGCTGAGTATGAGTAGCGGTTGGTTGACAGTTTTGAAATTAGACTTCAAGGCTTGAAACAATGAAATGACAAATGATGACGCATGCTATATTGTACTGAACAGTCCTAACTGAAACAATATGAATCAAAATGAAGATCAGAACAGAATAGTCACTAGTCTGTAAACTCCCAATAGTGAGCAATAATTCATGTGTTAATGAACCAGAACCATCAAAAACAAAGTCTTCTCTGGCCAGCAGCTGATCAGTCTTCTTTCGACTCTGCTGCCTCTGTACAGTTTACCAGCTCAATCTCTGCATCTTCCTTTGCATCAGCCTGCATGTGTCTACATAGAAAAGAAAAACAGATAAAAACAGTCATTTTTTTCTCTCTTATTTGTTAAGAGTAAAATAAAGCATCAGTAATTTAAGACAGCAACATTGACATGACTTTTCCATGTTTTACTTTTCTTAACAAAATCCAGTACTTGTCAAGAACTTGTCAAAAGGGACAAAATATAATAAAAGGGCACCAAGTTCAGTTCCTTGGAATTGTTATTCTGATTGCCTATTAACCTTATTGCTTATCGATTCCACTTGCACTTGTATTACAATCAACTGATTTCAGTTTGTGTGCCAGAGGAGGAAAATAGTGGCACAGTCTGCAAGGTGGATATTCTGACCCCGCTCTAATTTCTTTTGCATAAAAAACAAGAGTGCTGCTGCTCTAGGACAGCTTCCACTCTTTGCAAGCGCTTGCACAGACAGCATACTAACACTAAGCTAGACAAGAACCCAAAGTGATGATAAAGCTGAGTGACCCCATCCCAGAAGCCAGACCCTGAACAGGGAACAATCTGATGAGCAGTCAGGCTGCAGCCTCTGCTTTTAATTGTTCATGTTTCTAAAGTAGGATAACTGTTGTGATTTCTTTGAATCCCCCCCCCCCTCTCTGGTATACATCTTTGCTTATTGCTGTCGGCTTTGTGTTTGTACCTAAATACTAGAAAGCTTGTGTGTCTCCTCATTAGGATTCGAATTCACATTGGCTTGTGTGAGACTGTAGCATATAGGTTTATATTGTTTAAATGGTAATTATGAGACAAATCTTTTCAGGTCATTTTACAGAGAAATGTGAAAGTAATGTAACAAGTATATAACCAATTAAGTGACATCTGCTTAGCGAAGATGGTGACTCTGAAAGCGGAGCCAATAAGAACCCAATGAGAATTGACAATGGAATCGATAAGGAGTTGGATTCCTAAGTGATATTTCTTATCTTATTCCCATCCCTACTGATTATCTTGACAGTGAGGCAGGTTTGGTCTGTTTGTTGGTATGTGTTCACAGTTTATGTCTATGGTGTGATAGCATTAAAGCAATAAAGTACTTCCAGAATACAGATACTTAAATTTAACTTATGACTCATGTTTGAATGTGACTCTCTCATTTGCTTTTTTGCTGTCGTGTCTGTACCGTACCTTCCCTCTTCAACATCAACAATGTTTTCAGGCAGATGGACACTGAGTGTCTCTGGGAGCAGGAAGACCAAGCTGCCGCTGATAATTCCAGTGCCAGCAAAGATCAGAGGGGGCAGAAGATGCCAGACATCATCCAGCAGCATGATCAGTGGAGCCAGGGAACTCCCAATCCGACAGATACACGAGGTGTAACCTATACCACATTGCCTGCCCAACAACACAACCAGGAACTATGGTTTTAATGCTGCATCACAAAGTACATCTACTGAATAAAATTTGTAACTAAAAGAGCATTAGTTCTGCACACTTGATGTTAAATGGTAATGCTTCAGAACCCTCAAGGGGTTATACCTGAGGACAGTTGGGTAGAGTTCAGCCGAATAAAGGAATGCGGTGGTGAAAGCTGCCTCGGAGAAACCTTTTGCCACAACAGCAATGCACGTACGAAGCACAGAGAACTCTGAGCAAGAAACAGATCAAAGATGTGTAAGGTATCAGAAACCTTGGAGTGGATTTATGAAGCTAACTAAAACTAACTAAATAAAGAAAGGTCTGCAAGTCTCATTTACTTTAAGTGTAAATAGGGCAGGAAGTTATTTAACCTAGAGCAATGAATGTGTTTATTCCAACCAGAGATCCTGTTATGATTAGAAACCACGCCTGGCCATTTCGTCGACCAATCCAGTCCAAGACGAAGAAGGCGAAGACTTTGGCAGGAACTTCAATGGCACCATAGATGAACTGAGTGAGGTAGATATTGACTCCAAAACCTGAGATCTTGAAACTAATCCCATAGTACAGGAAAGCAACAGCAAACCTGGAGGTTCAGCAACACAAAATGAAGACACACAAATACATGAAATGACAACAGTAGCAAGTAGTGCTTTCAAAGAATGACTTGATACCAGAAGAATCCAGAGACAAGTGTGATCTTCCTCAGCTTAGGTGTTTTGACCAAATCCAGATAGGAGTGGTTCTTCTCAGCCACCTCAGAAACTGTCACCTTCACCAGAACCTGCAGTACGGAAAAGTAAAAATATATATTTTAAAAAGTGCAGTCAGCTGCTCACTTATTTCCCAAGGGGACACCAAAGGAGATGTTTGAATTGGCACAGATTTGATGCCAGATAGCCCTTGGATGAAACACTCAGCTTGTGACCGTCTGGTGCTGAGCGTCTCTATTCTTGTTCTTGAATTAGAGATCTTTTGCAAGAAAAGCAAATCCATTAACTATTGAATTCAATTCTATTTTCTTTTAATTCAGGTTTATTTGGCCTTGAGACACCTGCTGATGTGATTTGACACCATTTTAATAAAATTAATTGAATAACAACAATAGTAATTGCAATATTAATTGAGCTACTCTTTAAAGTTTTTGGACCATTTCAAGTTGCTATGCATCAATACAACTGTTAATAATATGTATGATAAAATCCATAGTACATATGCAAAATTGCCAAAAAAAAATAAACCTGGTACAATAAACCAAGTTTTTTTGTTTTGTTTTGTTTTTTTGTTTTTTTCGTCTGGACTTGCTTCACCTGCGCCGTCGCCGCTTTCCTAACGGCTGGCAACCTGGATTGTCTCTTTTACTGCCTTACTTTCAGTTAATGTATTTTGTTTTGCACTATGCATATTTTATATGCCATTAGGTCATTTATTGTGAAAATTCTCATGTAGGAACTATTGTACTGCATGTTGGTTCCACTGGTGCACCTGAGGGAGATGCACGCCCATGTTGATGTGCACGCCCATGGCAAGTTGAAGCAAGAGAAGCCAATTTAATTCAGAGAAAGTTGTTTCTTAAAAGTATCTGTAAAGTGCTCATTTCTGCCTCAAAGCATGGGTCAGCCAGCGAGGTATGTTTGTATGTTATATAGATCATTTTCACTCGTCTTACTATTTCACTCGTCTTACTATTTCATTGAATTTTATGTTATGTTTTAGTTCGACGGTGGCGTAGTTTGTGATCAAGGTGAAGCTGTAACAACCCCAAGACCTTACAACTAACATTAAAGCCAACTTCATGCCATCAGTAAAAGAACTCTTTATTGACTTTAAGAAGAGGTAGAAGTGATAGTCTCATTACTGCTACTGGCTCTGCCGCCAGCGCTGGCTCCACAGTTGGCCTCCTGAACTATTTTTCCATGCAGCCAGCCTCCTGAAAAGTTTAGGCCTGAAATCCTGTGCTGCCAACGTCCAGGTCGGCCCCCTGAACTGCTCTGTTTTGCACTCGTGCCGTCAAACCTCCAGGCGAGCCCTCTGAACTGTTTCTGGAATTCCAGTGCCTTTTGTGAACTTTTTGTTTTGGACAATTGCACTGAGGTGTAAAGCTTGATTGTAGGTTAAAAATGGTTTGGGGGGATTGAAAGCTTGATTAACAGACATCAACATCCTGATGCTTTTTCCAGTGTAAAAGCAATCGTATTTGAAATGCTACTCTAAACCTTATATAGCTGTAGATGTTAATTTTGCACACAAGTAACATTAGCTTCACCTCACTATCCAGTTTGGATATGTATTCATTCTTCCCATTGACTTTAGCACACTGAATCAGATACTTCTTGGCTTCCTCCACTCTCCCATTAGCCAGCAACCACCGGGCTGATTCAGGAAGCCACCTGAAGTGAGGCAGAAGAAACTGGATTTTAAAAACACACAGACAATAACATGTTTTCTGTTAGTATGAAATGGAAACTCCTTACCACCAGGGAATGATGGCAGTAATGCAGGGCGCTGTCACCACTAAAGTCAAATGCCTCCAGTCTCGTATATAGTAGGCCAGCAGGGCCAGAAACATGTTCCCAAAACTCCAAGATAAACTCATAACAGTACCAGCAAAGGTACGGTGCTTTATATCTGTCCATTCAATACCTGAGGAGGAAGTAAAAGAAAGTGTCTGAGGTCATGTTTCAACATGAATATCTCAAAAACTATTAAAGATAAAAGCCTGAAATTTTACTTGTCTTTGTTACATCAAATAATGTCTCACTATTGAATAGTTAAAATATTTAAAAAAAATAATCTAGCAGTCCTGCAAAGTCCCACGTGTGATCACACACTAATAAAAAAAACTTAACATTGCAAAAGACAACTACTGACAATGTCTGAAAAATATATAGTTATACTATAAAATGCAAGAGAAAATGTGGAATATGTATTTAAAACAAAATTCTGCATAACAGAATTTAAGTAAATGCTATTTTCATTCCACTTTCATGCTGGATTCAGAATAGTTGTACCAAATTAATAAAAATATAAATAGACCGATTTAAATTAAAAAAAATCAGAAGTTTATACATTGTAGATACACACTGGAGACATCAAATATATGAAGCAAATAAAAACTTGATGAATAACTCTAGATATCTCTTATATT